AATTTTAATGATTTTTTTTTTTTTTTTTTTTTTTTTTTTTTTTTTTTTTTTTTTATCTTTATTTAAAATATTATAGATGTTTGAAAAAATGGATGAGTCGCTGTGTGCTGTTGTTTTGTGTGATGAATAAGAAAGAGACGACTTTAAATTGAAAGGAAAGGAATAATTAATGTGGTGAGTTGACATTAATTATTAATTATTCAACATCAAACCCTCTCAAATGGACAAACCTCTGTATTTTGGTATCAGAATGATGCCATGGTTGAAAAGAAAAGCAGGAGATTGGTGGGAGGAGAAGGATGAATGGTCAAAATTGTAGATGAGTGGGCATACACCCCAACCCAACTACTCCACTAAAAGCAGTGGAATCTACTCTTAGTTTAAAAAAAAAAAATAGGAATAACATCTATGTCATCTCGCTCATACCCAGTGAGTGAGTGTGACAAAATATGAAGATGTTTAGATCCACATGGAGAGGCGGATTAGTTGGTCAAAGCAATGGAGGAGAGAGAGATAAATGCGTGCGATAAGCGGTTGTGATATGGAATAGATACGCAACGCATGGGCTGCCCTGCAATCGCTACAATGAAGGCCAACCAACCCAACACTCCTCCACTATATAATGCTAACAATCCTTCTCTGTACTCAACAGGCTCGAAACGAAACCAAATATTTCGAGTTCAAGGAATAGCCTCCTGTGTCCTTGAATCCAGGCGCAGCGAGACACCCCTCGGATTGCAGGGGTTCGAATAAACATAATGGCTTCCACAACTTCATGCTCTTCGTTGTTTGTGGCCATTATGGCGTGCATGTGCTTCACTGCCCACGCATTTTTCAATCTCAACATTGGAGTGGACATCTGCCAGAAGGCGGACTACCCGGCCTTGTGTCGCTCTGTGGCTAGGGGCCAGAAGGACCCATCGGTGGTCCTCGAGACCACGATCAGGCTATTGATGACGCAGACGTACAAGGCGATGGGACAGGCCCGGCGCGACAAGACGTCGGCCATGGAAGTTTGCCTGGAGGTTTACGACGACGCATTCAGCAGCCTGCAGACCTCCATTTCAAGCCTGAAAAGCCACGACAAGGGTAGCCTCGGCATTAACCTCTCAGCGGCATTGACCGATTACGTGACCTGCGACGATGCGGTGGCGGAGAGTGGGTTAAGATCACCGGTTACCCGAAGAAACGAGAGGATGCGCAAAATGACGAGCAACTGCTTGTATTTGTCTAGTTTGATTCGGTGGCACTGAAATCCGGACTCCCTTTGTGTAGAGGTTTGGTTTGGGTTGGGTTGGGTTGAGCCTGTTCCTTCATGTTTCATCGTTGGTTGGTTTGAATTTATGAAATGGAAGAGAAGGCAGGAGCATTCAGAAGGAACCCCCTTCTGCCTTGTTCTCTTCTAATATTCATCGCCTTGTTCTCTTCTAATATTCATCTTTTCTTGTTTCTAATATCCTATCATTTTCTATCTATTCTGCAAACCCCCACGCAACATAGCCTACGCACCAATGTGAATGTGTGTTGTTGTTGGAGCACTGATGGGCCTTCCCAAAAGCCCACTCCAATTACACCCAGAACTTATTCAATGATTATGGTTCGCAAATAAATATATATATATACATGTAGCATTCGCCACAAATTGGGTTACTAATAAATAGTGAGTGGGGAAGGCGGATGAGAGAGAGAGAGAGAGAGAGAGAGAGGCCGGCGAAGAGAGCACAGCCACGCCCGCTTTAGACAAAATCATTGTTCAAGCAACATCCTTCTTCCGCTTCCACGCTTCCTTTTCTTTCTCATCCTTCCAATGCACTTTTTACCATTTATATTACTTCAATTTCTATCACACACACACACACACACACACACACACACACGCACACCAAGCCTTCAGCTTTCGCAGTAGTTTGTATTGTGTGTGGGTGCCCCAACAATTCCATTTTACATGATTTGACTCCATCTCTATCTCAGTGCTGAAGGAGAAGAACCCACCGTCCCTCCAAACAATTCATATTCGTATGTTCATATTCATATTGTTGCCCCCTTTAATCTCTAAAGCTAAAGTTTCTTCCTGTCCTTGTATTGGAGACTGGGAACACTCTCTCTCCCCCTCTCTTTAAGGGGAAAAAGGAGACCCCATCATCATTTCCATCACTACCCAACTACTTATAACACTCAGCCCCACACTCACATTTCCTATACCCAAATTCTAACCCTCTTTTTCTTCTTCCCCTTCCTTTCAAACCTACAATGCTCCAAATCTCCTTGCTTTGATCTCTACCTCTCTCGTCGATCAACGCTTGGACGCCGCCTGAGCATGGCCTCCTCCGCCTGCTTCAACATCTCCCAACCCATTCCCATTTTTGCCTTGCTTCTTTTGCTTCTTCTTACTTCCACAATAACTCCGCTGCACTCCTCGCCAACCCGAACCCACGCCACAAATCAGACCTTCCATCCCCAACAGGAATTAAACAAGCTCAAGATGATAAGGGCTCGCTTGGACATCATCAACAAGCCTGCCCTCCACACAATTCAGGTTACTACTCAATTCCAATTATATGTACCCTGTCTCTGCACTTCCTCTGTTTCCACAATAAACAAGACCGGGTTTTTCTTAATGCAGAGTCCTGACGGGGACCTCATAGATTGCGTTTTATCTCACCTGCAACCCGCATTTGACCATCCCAAGTTGAAAGGGCAGATACCATTGGTAATCAAATCGCAGTTTACGTTGGTTGCACCCAAATTCAAGGGGAATCTAAGTCTAAGCTCTTGTCTGGATTTGCAGGATCCGCCAGAGAGACCAGAAGGGCATAAGCCGCCTAGGACGGTGACAGAGAGCTTCCAATTATGGAGCATGAATGGAGAAAATTGCCCAGAAGGAACCGTCCCAATAAGAAGAACAACTGAGGAAGACTTGTTAAGAGCTACCTCTTTTCAGATGTTTGGAAGGAAAGTAAGAAGATGGGTTAGGAGAGAAACAAGCAGCGACGGGCATGAGGTACGATTTCCAACAAAAGTTATAGAATACATGCGGATTGCCTTAGCTTGAAGGTGACCATTCACTCTCTCATGCCTTTTTTCCTTTTACAACCAGCACGCTGTGGGATACGTGACCGGCGATCACTACTTCGGGGCGAAAGCAAGCATCAATGTGTGGGCACCACGAGTCGCCGATCAGTATGAATTCAGCTTATCGCAAATGTGGGTCATCTCCGGCTCCTTCGGCGACGATCTGAACACCATTGAAGCTGGTTGGCAGGTATGTCTTTCCCTATGTTACAAAAACCTCGTCTTTTATCTTTGTCTGGATTTAAAAAACTAGAAAAAAAAGCAAAAGATGTATGCCGACAAAGAATTTGACTAAAGTGAATTTCAACAGAGACCATTTTATTTGCTTTTTCCATTTAAAGGATGGATGCCAATGCTTTTGAAATTTGGATCCACAGGTTAGTCCAGAACTGTATGGAGACAATTACCCAAGATTTTTTACTTACTGGACCGTGAGTAACCCATCAACAAAACGCTCTCTGCTTTCTTCCATCCCATTACCTGCGTAACAAAATATGGGCTGATATTGAGATGAATTTTATGACAGTCGGATGCATACCAAGCAACCGGGTGTTACAATTTGCTATGCTCGGGCTTTGTCCAGACAAACAACAAAATTGCAATTGGGGCTGCAATTTCTCCAACGTCTTCGTTTGACGGCGGCCAATTCGACATCAGCTTGTTGGTCTGGAAGGTGCAACGTTTGAATCCGCTTCTATGTCTAACTTTTTCTTGGGACTTGATAATAAAAATAAATAAATAAATGGGTGTAGGATCCGAAGCATGGAAATTGGTGGCTGGAATTCGGGTCGGGAGTTTTGGTGGGGTACTGGCCGTCCTTCCTCTTCACCCATTTACAGGACCATGCAACCATGGTGCAATTCGGGGGAGAGGTGGTGAATTCAAGTCCGTCGGGACTCCACACCACTACAGAGATGGGGAGTGGGCATTTCGCCGGCGAGGGGTTCGGAAAAGCTTCCTACTTTCGGAACCTGCAGGTGGTGGATTGGGACAACAGCTTGGTTCCATTATCCAACTTGGTGGTTTTGGCGGACCATCCCAACTGCTACGACATTCAAGGAGGGATCAACACCGTTTGGGGAAACTACTTTTACTACGGTGGACCAGGTCGAAACGGCAGATGCCCTTGACACTATACACCACAGGGCCAAAAGGGTAAATATACTTTTATTTTATTTTTTCTATTCTCTCTCTGAATTATTCAAATTTATTCGTGGGGGTGATATACCGATTACCGATAAAGGGGTGTTGAATGTTTTTGGAAAATAGTCCTCTAATTTGGCGCCATTTATTGTATCCCCATTTCCTTTTTTTTTTCTTTTTCTTTGGTTATTATTACAAAATTTAGTAATTGGTGATGAATATTAATATCACCACCCTCATTAGGACTTTATATTTGTAAATTGCGGGCATTATAATTAAAAGAATGTATGGCATGCAATTCAACCCAGTATATCTATCATACTTTGTAATAATAGCCTCCACATCTTGTACTCAAGGGAAGAATCATAATAATAATAGTAATAATGTGTATAACAAAATAGAATAATGTATTGAAGTAGAAAATGATGAGTGCCGGGTGTACAATCAATTGGAGATCTATCTTTGGCTCAAAGATAACATAATAGAGAAGTGCATGCCTTGTATTATTCTTCCAGCATATTACGACACATATCATAATTAAACTTCATTCATGCCAAAAAAAAATGAAAAAGAAAGGGTGTGCAGTTGAGTGCATGATCACAGGGAATAGGTTACACAAATTAATGTACGAAATTTAATCAATATATAGTTTTTAATGCATGCATATTATTAAAAAGCTTTTTGTTTTGTTTTTTGGTTGGACTCAAATACCCTTCCCTTTAATATATGCTATTGACAGGCCCATGTAATTGAAGGGTGAATTGAAAGCTTCCATTTTTTTTTTTTTTTTTTTTTATAGAAAGAACGAATAATTAAATTTTAAATTGATTAAAAATCGTAAGAAATAAAATAGACGGACGATTAGAAGACAGTTTAGTTGAAAGAAAATATAAAGGGTTGGGAAAATAATTGAAAATAATTATGGTGAGGAGTTCCAGAACATTCATGTGGCTTCTGGACTACACATTTCCCGATCACAAAATTGCAATTTATTTACATTATCATACCTGTTTATTCTAGAAGTGGGAAGGGCTTCCAGGTAGGATCCAGCACGGCACACTCTTATATACAAACCCACAAACATATTTATATTGTTTTTGTAGGTGGACAATTTTAGAGGGGTCAGGAAATAATCCCACCATCGCCTAAAACGGACAGCTGATTGGCTAATAATCCGCATGAGAAATGGATAAAGCAAAAGAGAGAGACGTGGGGGAAGCCATATTTCCTTTTTTTTTTTTGTTAGAGAAAAAAAGAAAAGGAAAGGATTGTACATTATATATCTATATATATCTGAGGCGCCTCTTCCCTCCTCCCCTCCCCCATCGTTGTTTAGGTTCCCAGTGATATAGGAGAAGCGTTGAAGCCTCCCGGTTGCAGCGGAAGAGCCTTCCTTCGGCCCCTCTCCTTTTGTTTCTAGGGTTGAAGAAGGCTCTCCTCTTCTCTTTTCTTTCGCTGAATTCCCCAGTATGATTCGTCTCTGGATTGATGCCTTGCATTTCACCGAGTTATTTCTTAGCTCTTTTGTTCATTTGGTGTATGGGTTTTACATTTTTAGCTCAGCCGTCGCTGGGGATCTTTCTCAAGCCTTCCACCGACGCTTTCTCTTTCCTTCCCCCAAAGTTGAGAACAAACAGGATTTTGCCACCACAACCATACCCAATCTCCACACCCTCCCCCCGATTGTATTAGTCCATGGAATTTTTGGTTTCGGCCAAGGAGTAAGTAACCCATCTTTCCTTTCGTTTCTTCTCCNCCCAATCCCCACACTCTCCCTCCCATTGTCTTAGTCCATGGAATTTTTGGTTTTGGCCAAGGAGTAAGCCTTCATTCCTCTCTTTTCCTTTTCTGCGTTTCCCTTTCTTTTCTTTCTCCCTCATTGATTATGCCTCCCTTCCATTTCCGCAGAGATTGGGAGGTTTGTCCTACTTTGCGGGTGCGGAGAAGAAGGACGATAGGGTGCTTGTGCCTGATCTAGGATCCTTAACCAGCGTTCATGATAGGTGAATACTTCATCAATTCAATCTTCAATTCCCTTCATGCTTTTGTGTTCTGATTCTTACGTCCGCGGGTTTTGATTTCTCAGGGCTCGGGAATTGTTCTATTATCTGAAAGGCGGACGAGTCGATTATGGGGAAGAACATAGCAAGGCCTATGGCCATTCCCAGTTTGGGCGGGTTTATGAACTAGGTTTCCCGTCCTTTTCAACTTCATATACTCCCAAATTGCAAATAACTGTTTGCCCTGCATACCGGCCTTTCTTAAACCGATCTTCTTATTGGAATTGGTATTTGCAGGACACTATCCTGAATGGGATGAAGATCATCCTATTCACTTTGTGGGGCATTCTGCCGGAGCTCAGGTCGTCCGACTACTCCAGCAAATGCTCGCTGATAAGGTTAGGGAAATATAGAGTTTAATCTTTGTCCACCAGACGTGTCTGAAAGATTGAGATGCTCACATATTCTTATTGGTTCAGGCATTCAAGGGGCATGAGAACACCACGGAAAACTGGGTAATAAGCATCACGTCCTTGTCAGGAGTTTTCAATGGGACTACCAGGACTTACTTGGATGGGATGCAGTAAGTTCCTTTTTTGGTTGAAACATATCTTCTAGTTGATTTCATTGAATCACAACGTTTGGAAGCTTGGGAGCCAATTATTGCAACATGCTTATGCTTGAGTCTAACCAATTACATGCTTGAAATTGAATGATAATGCTTAGTTTTAGGTTTTAAACATCACATATTACCTACTCAAGATTTGCAACATGCTTACACAGTTAAGTCTAACCATGTTAGTCCCTTTCTTCTCAACTTGTTCCAGGCCAGAAGATGGGAGATCAATGAAGCCTATATCCCTGCTACAGCTGTGCCGCCTGGGCGTCATAATATATGATTGGATTGATATACCCTGGTTGAAAGCATATTATAACTTTGGGTTTGATCACTTCAACATGTCACGGAAGAAAATGGGTATTTGGGGTCTTCTTGATTGTCTCAAGGGAAATTCTGGGCCATTTGCCTCTGGAGATTGGATCCTCCCTGATCTTACCATACAGGGCTCCATCCGTCTAAACAGCGACTTACAGACCTTTCCTGATACATACTATTTTAACTATGTAACCAAGTGCACTAGGAAGATTTTGGGGGTCACAGTTCCATCAAGCATATTCAGAATCCATCCGTTGTTCTTTATAAGAGTTCTGCAGATGAGTCAATGGCGCCATCCTTCAGATGTCGCTCCCCCTTACAAAGGCTACAGGTGTTTGAAGAAATAAGTAGCAAGAAATTCCTTCAACTTTGGATTTGATTTATGAATAAAACAATAATGCATCATGCTAGCAGAACATAACAGTAATGCTTTTGCAGAGATGAAGATTGGCAGGACAATGATGGTGCACTCAACACCATTTCCATGACTCACCCACGCTTTCCAGTTGAGCATCCAAATCGTCATGTAGTAGATGAGTCAGATTGTAAACCCCTCGAACCTGGTATCTGGTTAGTTGAAACATCCTCAAATTCCTTTTCCCTGTTCGAAATCCTAATTTCCATTCTTGCTGCTCAAATTTAACCATAGAGTATACATTGCTTGAAACGCATTCGTGATCATTTAGAATCTATAAGCATAATATCACGCTGCCATCCACTTCCAGTTAAAGCGTAGTTGTGACTTCAAAGCGTTCTCTTATTTTTATATTCTGGCTTTTGCATGCAATACTTGAAGGCTCGGTGAAATGTTAATGTGAAGTTGATACAAATTGCAGGTACTACAAGGTAATTGAAGGTGATCACATAATGTTCATAGTGAATCGGGAGAGAGCAGGAGTTCAATTTGATCTCATATACGATGCCATTTTTGAACGTTGTAGAAAACATGTGTTCAGGAAGAACCCCCCAACCTTGCCAAACCAACCTCACCCATAGGGCGCTGTTATTGTTGCTTAAAATAGCACTACTACTAGGGAATTGGAACAAAAGTTATTGCATCTACTATGCCATACAACCTTTTGTTACACCATTCTTTTCCACCTTTCATGTAAATAAAAAAGTCTCTTCTGTTCCATTAACGGTTTTGTTTTCAGTTTTATGTAATTGAAATTTAGGAAAGCTATTCAATGAGAAATTTGCTTGCCCCAATGCACTTCTGAAAACCAGGGAATGAACCAAATAAAATGATAGACAACGAGTACGTAAGAACATAATTTATCAGGCGGAAGATGAAATGGGGTGGACCTTAATGAGTAAACTCATGAGATTGACTGACATCAGGAGATTGAGAGTGAGTTTCTGGTGTTGCGTTGAAATGGAAACAGTCATTGGAGCGGTGTCGTTAATATTATATGCGTCTGAGGCAGAGATTAGAAGTTTGTTCTGAGTTTCCAGGGAAGGGAAGAAAATTGAAGAGGGTGGATGGAATTGTTGAAGGAGTGGTTCATGATTAGATAGGCACATGGCATCTCGTATCGCCACTTGGTCGATCAAACTCTTCGTCGCCTTCCACACGCAATATATTGCTCCAATCTCCAACTGTGAGGATTGCATGAACACCCACTAACGACAACCGCCATTTCTGATCGCTGACCAGCCTCCGTTTGTCGGTTGTGTTGCCACACAAATATTAAGCGAAAAGAAAACACGAGGAGGAGATTAGTGTCCAAATTTCACAGCAAGGATATGTCTCAGAGTGACGAGTGGCTCGAGTAGTGGGGGAAAAAAAAGATGAATAAATAACTAGTCCTTTGAGCTTTTCTTTCTTATTGAGAAGAAGAGAGAGGGAGGTATAGAGAAGAAGAAGAAGCTGAAAGTCAGAACCATACACAAAGGAATCCGAGTCCAAGCAAAGCGACCGAAGTTGGAAGAAAGGTACCTAGAAGGGAAGCTAATGTATTTGTTGCATTGCTTTAGAAAAATTATGGCAAGAAATGGGTTTTTAAACAGAGGGGTTTTTTTTTTTTTTTTTTTTTTTTTCCTGTTTTGGTTGCTGGTGAATCTCTTATGGATTATTGTTCAAATTATGAGAGTGGAGACTGAGGTTTCCCTGTTGTTTTATCAGGTGTTATCTGAAGACTGAAAGGGAGCTGTGTGTTTTACTATCTGAAAAAATGGGTCCAAAAGCATTAGATTACGAGTCCATAAACGAGAATGTGAAAAAGGTGCAATATGCCGTCAGAGGAGAACTGTATCTTCGAGCCTCCCAGCTTCAGAAAGAAGGGAAAAAGGTTTGAATGCTTCTCATCTGTTTCATTTATTTTTCTTCAAAATTTTCTTCTCATCCGTATCATCTTTGTTTTCGCTTTCACAATTTCCAGATTATCTTCACAAATATTGGGAACCCTCACGCTCTTGGTCAAAAGCCTTTGACCTTTCCCCGTCAGGTCTACTTCAACTTCCTTCTTCTGTGGTGATTTTCACACTTACTGCTATCAAATGACTTGAGTTGCTTAGCAATACCTTGTTGCATAATACCAATTCAATAACTAAAAATATATATTGTTCTTCCCCAGGTAATTGCTCTTTGCCAAGCCCCATTTCTTCTAGATGATCCCAATGTAGAACAATTATTTCCTCCTGATGCAATTGCCAGGGCCAAACATTATCTTTCAATGATTGAGGGTGGTTTAGGTATGTTACTTCGTACGAAAGAACTTATTCATCCCATGAAGCCATTTCTACGTAATCCCTTTTTTACAGCTCTGATGTTCTGTTGATAATATAATAATTCTCTACATATGGCCATCTTATCCTAGTGTGTGTTATCAATAAATATAGATACCACGGGCTTTGTTTATTACTCTGTTCTTGCCACCAAATTAGTATGTTTCCTTAAATTTCTTGACCATTGCTTGTATTGTACTTGTCACCATTAGTCACCACCTAAAGGTACCATTGAGTTTAAAATTATTCAGTTGAGGTGTCAAAAGTGAAGAGCTCGGGCATACCAGCCTTGACAAAAAATTCATCTCTTGGCTACTCTTTCAGGTGCCTACAGTGATTCCCGAGGAAATCCAGGAGTAAGAAAGGAGGTGGCGGAGTTCATAGAAAGGCGTGATGGCTATCCGAGGTATAACAGTGCTAGCTATAGATATAAGAAGATCTAAATTTTTCCTGACCCCGATATATTGACTTGATGGTGAGCCAATAAATTTCAACCTTTGTTCGCAAGAGAATGCTCACTGCAGCATGCTTAAATGACAGTGATCCAGAACTGATATATCTCACAGATGGAGCCAGCAAAGGGGTGATGCAGATACTGAATACTATAATCCATGGTGAAGGCGATGGGGTGATTTATCTTCTTTTATCCTTTCAGTTCTTTTTTTTTATTGGTATGTTGCCTTACATTTCTTCATGTTGCCAGATTCTCGTTCCAGTCCCTCAATACCCTCTTTATTCGGCAACAATTGCTCTGTATGGTGGTTCCTTGGTTCCATATTATTTAGATGAGAGCTCAAACTGGGGTCTTGATGTCAATGATCTTCGTCAGTCCGTAGCGCAAGCTCGCTCTCAAGGAATCACGGTTAGTATAGCTCTCTTTAACGCTTTTTGATACTCGAAGAATTGTGTTTAATGTTGGGTGATGATGCCTGTATCTGAAACGGGATTGGTGAAACTTCAATGCACACTTATGTATCTGGTACTTTAGTCACAACAATTCAAAAGCAAAGATACCTTCTGTGCTTCATCAGTTCCTTGTTGCTCAGATGTTGTGAGATCCCACATCGAGAATGAAACATTCTTTACAAGGGTGTGGAAACCTCTCCTTAGTAGACGTGTTTTAAAATTGTGAGGCTGATGACGATACGTAAAGGGTCAAAACGAACAATATCTGCTACGGTGGGCTTGAGCTATTACAAATAGTATTAGAGTCAGACACCAAGCGGTATGCCAGCTGGTATGCCAGTGAGAACGCTGGGTTTCCAAGGGGGTGGATTGTGAAATCCCACATCGATTGGAGAGGAGAACAAAACATTCCTTATAAGGGTATGGAAACCTCTCCCTAACCGACGCCTTTTAAAAACCACGAGGTTAACGGCGATACGTAACAGGCAAAAGCGGACAATATCTACCAACCGTGTATTTTGTCCCAATCCCAATCATTACAGCATATTTGGATAATTTTGTGTGTTAGATAATTCCATGTAAATGTATTGTTTGTGTTCACGACCTAATCCCTCTTATATTCTGTCAAACGACCAGGTAAGAGCAATGGTAATCATAAACCCTGGTAACCCAACTGGTCAATGCCTTAGTGAAGCAAATTTAAGAGAAATATTGAACTTCTGTTTTCAAGAAAATCTTGCTGTACTTGGTGATGAAGTTTATCAGCAAAACATCTATCAGGATGAACGACCCTTCATTAGTTCTAAAAAGGTTTGGTGACAGTGCCACTAGAACATAGTAAACATGTTCCTCTCCACCTGTGTATTTGTATTAAGTAGCCTTATTTACCATATGGAAGGTATTGATGGATATGGGGCCTCCCATCAGCAAGGAACTTCAGCTCGTATCGTTCCACACTGTGTCAAAGGGATATTTGGGCGAGTGTGGACAACGTGGTGGATACTTTGAAATGACGAACATTCCACCTCAGGTTTGGTACTAGGATTTGGTTCTTGAACTTTCTTTGTGGTCATGTAGTCACCAGACCAGAGTCCTCCCATCTTTGCTTCTGTCACACTCACCATCCAAATTCTGTGTATATGTACTTTTAATGCTGCCTGCAGACAGTGGATGAGATCTACAAGGTTGCATCAATATCACTCAGTCCAAATGTTCCTGCACAAGTGTTTGTAAGTTTTGTTTGTTGTATTTCAGAGACGGACGTGTTGAAGCCTGAATTCATGTAGCATGTTTTTACAAAAATGACTTATTTTGTACAATGTAGATGGGGCTCATGGTCAATCCACCCAAACCTGGAGACATATCCTATGAGCAATATCATCGTGAAAGGTATGCCTATATGGTATTTGAACGTTTATCTATTCTGATGATATCAAAATAGTAGTAATAATGAAAAATGAACCATGAGAATGAATGTAGCAAAGGAATCCTGGAGTCACTGAGGAGAAGGGCAAGGATAATGACAGATGGTTTTAACAGTTGCAAGAATGTAGTCTGCAACTTCACTGAAGGTAAGAATATGGGTGGTGTGTTGTTATAATAAGATGAGTAGTGATTGAAGAAAGAAATATAAAAGGGAGAAAATTTGGGTGTTATAGGAGCCATGTATTCGTTCCCTCAAATTCAGCTGCCTCCGAAAGCCATAGAGGCAGCAAAAACAGCAGGAAAAGTAGCTGATGTCTTCTACTGTCTCAAGCTTCTGGAAGCTACTGGAATTTCGACAGTCCCCGGCTCAGGATTTGGACAGAAACAAGGGTACTCTCTCGTTTTCCCTTCCATAACAACACTAAATTAGTGGGAGTGGGTTGCTTTGAGAAGAATAGTAGAAGATGTTAATACTCCTTTTGTGTTTATGGGTTCTGCAGGGTCTTCCATTTGCGAACAACCATCTTGCCGCCAGAGGAGGAGATGCCGGCGATCATGGCTAGCTTTAAAAAGTTCAACGTTGAGTTCATGGAACAATACGCTTAGTGGATCTTTCTTTTTCTTTCGTTTGGTGTGTTCATCATAAGCTGTAAAGTGTTCTTCATGAACTCCACAGGCCTTCTTAACCTTCTCTACCCTTAACATCTGTAGGAGTGTAAAATACAATTGACTGAAGTAAATAATAATAATATGAAATATGGTCATTTTTAAGGGTATAAATAAGAAACTAAAACAACGTAACGTAAATAAAACTAGAATAAAAAAATTAAATATTTATTGTTTCTCTAAAAGTTTAGTGGTTGTTATGCGGTCTGTAGTCAATTCATATTTATAAAATAATAAATAAGTAAAATAATGAAAGGAAAATTACTTGATAATCAGTATATATCTTTGAAAGAAAAAAGGATGATTATTTTGGTTGGAAGGAATGTTGTGGGGCCGGAGATAATAAATGAAAAAGAAGAAATGGTCAAGGCACACGAGCGAGAAGCGAGAAGCGAGAAGCGAGAAGCAGTGATCTCCGGGGCGGGGGAGGGGGCGGAGGAAACTGGGCGTATTTATTGCCTCTGCGCCACCAAACCCCTCTCCTTCTTCTTCTCTGTCTCTGATTATTTGATTCTGGAGTGGTGGTAGATGCCTTGTCCTCCTCAAAACTATGCCGCAAAGAACTTGGCCAGATCGCTCCGATGCCTCTCCTTTCTCTTCCTTTTCTCTCTCCAATGTCAAGGGCAAAGCTGCGGTTGAGGTCGAGGATGATGTTGATCACTTCTCTCGCCACGCCAATTCCATTTCCATTTCCAGTAAGTTCCCCGACAGACTCCATGCCTCACCATCTACCTCTTCCTCCTCTCAAACGCCTTTCTTCCTGCCAACCTCCTCTTTTGGGGGCCAGGATTTCTCTGCCTTGCCGTATGACGTTTTGATCAAAATCGCCGCCTCTTTCAACCTCCCGAATCTGCGAGCTGCGTCGTTTGTATGCAAGCCTTGGTTCGAGGCGCTCAGGCCTTTGAGGGAGGCTATGCTATTTCTGCGATGGGGAAAGCGCTTCAAGCATGGTCGAGCTGGGGTTCGACCCAATTCTGACAAGGCTCTTAATTCCTTTCTCAAGGCTGCGGCGCGTGGGTCCACCCTTGCTATGGTTGATGCTGGACTTCTCTATTGGGAGATGGGCAACAAAGGCGAGGCTATTGCCTTGTACCAAAAGGCTGCTGACCTAGGCGATCCTGCTGGCAAGTGCAATCTAGGAATCTCGTTTTTGCACGGTATACTCAATCTTATTCCATTTCATTCCCCTTCTTATGTTTCTCCTCGATTGACAAGCAGAATCTTATTAGTTAGACTTAATCACTGGATGCTCAACGATTTGAATTGCTTCAACGCATCGATCTTTTGCTGTATTTTAAATCGGAAAAAATGTTTCATTCGTTGCTTGCTGCAGGCCTTCGGCTACTGAACTTGCTACTTATGTAGATTTCTCCTTGTGTTTGTTTTGACACAATCTGTGAATTATGTATTACTGCTTAAGTAGATAACTGGATGAGTGGTACTGCCTCTGTAGAACAAATTCATCGTTTTCAACCTTTTCATTATTCTTTCTATGAATTGTGCAGCAAAACCACCAAATCCCACTGAAGCTGTAAGATGGCTGCGACAATCGGCCATGGCTGGCAACATTCGAGCTCAATACCAACTTGCTTTGTGTCTCCATCAGGGTCATGGCGTGGATCGAAATGTACAGGAAGCTGTACGTTATTTCCCCCTTCCTATCCCTTTTGCTTATGAGATAGATTTATGTTTCGGTATAAATGTTCGAATTAGTTGCCCGTTTATCCTTTTGGTGATACTCAATTAGGCTCATCTTGCTGTGTATTCTTCCAATCTATCCAACTTTTATTTACATACTTCCTATTTATATATTATTTTGCATATTTAAGCTCCTTAGTTTCACCAGATTATGAACCTATTGCTCTTATTTTTCCTCCCAATGAACCATTTGATGAAGACTTGTCATTCATTGTTGCAGCAGCTTGCAGTGAAAGTTAGATTTTTCAGTCTCTTTTCCTTTCCTTTCTCATTTTTCTCCTTTTCTTGAAAAAGGCTAGGTGGTTTTTTAAGGCCGCCGAAGGTGGATATGTGCGTGCTATGTACAATCTTTCTCTGTGCTATTCTTGCGGGGAAGGCTTGGTACACAACCATCAGCAGGCTAAAAAGTGGATGAAGCGGGCTGCTGATCGTGGCCATAGTAAAGCTCAATTTGAGCATGGACTCCATCTCTTTTCTGTACGTTTCAAATAAATATCATCTTCCCGTTTACAAAGATGTTTGTTGCTTTGGCATTAGATGTGTTGACCACTCCCCCCGGAATGATTTGAGTGTTGTTGTATGAATGGAAATCTTAGCTGTGAAAACAGGAAAAAAGAAAAGGGGCCTGAATGTTTAGTTTGACAAATTCTCCATCAAAAGAGTGAAAAAAGAACTTGGAATTTAAAAATTCATGTAGGTACTGATTTTTAAGTACTTGGGCAGGAAAGGGACATGATGAAAGCTGTAGTCTACTTGGAACTTGCAACCCGCTCTGGTGAAAGAGCTGCTGCTCATGTCAAGAATGTAATTCTCCAACAACTTTCGCAAAGTTCCCGAGATCGAGTCATGTCTGTTGCTGATAACTGGCGTGCATTGCCTTCTTCTCATTGAGCCCCTTTCACAATGGTTAGTGCACGTCTGGATCTTTTCTTTTACTTCTTTTTTGTTCTTTCTACGGGACATTTCCATGTATACGACAAATCAAGGAACTTTAGTACAAAAAGTAGTCTGAATGCTTTTTGTTGCAAACATTGTATCCTAAAATACTAAAAGTCAGTCGCTATAAAAGTTGCCTCAAGACTAATTCCACTTATTAGATGGTTTCTCTGTATCTTTTTCTTCAAAGGCATTCAGAATGAATCATACTTCTTTTTTCTTTTCTTACTTTCTGTAGAGGATTCTTACATGAGTGTTGTCTTTTGAAGCTCCTTCCCATTTTTCAATTAATCTCGTATCACTCCCTCATTTGCAAGTTTCACTGGTTCAGGTTGTGCTGGATATGATTCGATCATATGTATTAGTGTAATTCTGATGATCGATTTGTATTTCCATTCCTGATCCTCTGAGCTTACGTGCCATATCTTTGAAATAAATCATGTTATCAAGTGATTATCATTTTATTGGGGATTTCTTTGCCAGGATTTAATTCTTGTGTTTCTAAAACCAAAAAAGGCAGCTCTGTTAAGGTCTGTAGCTTGAGAAACGACATTTGATTCTAACCAACAGGCAGTACAAGATGAAGATTTGAACCCTTGTAGTGAGTGTTGTGTAAAAAAAGAGCGGAGGACATGTTTAGGCAAAGATGTTCATTGGATGGTGACTGTAAGCTTGTTCATCGTAGGAAAACATGCTTTGAAAACTAATGAAGTCTTGTGTTTTACTTAATATTCCGTTTGTTGCCCAGATTTTCATGGTTCATATTCATACAATCCATCAACTACAGAATAGAATTTTGTTTAGAGGATATACACATACATAAGAAAAAAAAAAGGATTAATGGAGACGACTACCAACCCAAAGGAAATGGATTTAATTGGATGAATAATGAAAAACCAATTAAAGGCGGAACGAGAAGACAGAGGAAAAACTGCATTCCACTCTGTAATCTTTTTAACCATTCTATTCCTGTCAACAACATTGGAAGCTAACAAGGTATAAGCTTTATTTTCTACACAACTCTGTGGATCATTTTGTTTAGAGGATATACACATAATACCATGCCGCCATCATCAAAGTAAACCAAACGGTTGGATTTAGGAAAGGAGAAGTTTTAGGGCAACCCCAAGTGCCCCTTAGAATGGACTCCCATTCCTGCGTGATACAGATTGAGGTGACTAATTGCCTTCCCCACCAAGTCTTTCAATTCTGGGTGCATTGCAATCATGGTGCGATCCGCCCCCTCCAGCACTGTCAAAACCCGGGCCTGATCCACAACCTCGCTGCTGCCCGCATGAAGTGCAAGATAACACAACAGAATCAGTCCATACATCCGTGTCTTCTCGTTCTCCCCAAGTATCTTCAGTACGAGAGGCACCCCGTTCAACTCTATTACTGTCCTCGAATGCTCCATGCAAAGGAAATTCTCCGGACAAACAAACTTCCCCAGCGAAATGGCAGCCTCTGCAGCCACATTTACATGCCTACTCTCAAGCTTCACCACCAAAGGACCAATGACTCGTGTTGCTCTCGCGGGAAATGTCCTAGCCAACGATCCTATGGATCTTATGGCAGGAACTTGCAGAGTCGGGTTGTCCAAATCATTGATCACCCTCAACATCTGATCCACCACAGCCTTGGCGGCAGGAGAATTTGTCTTGAACGCTGCACGCCTCAGGTCCGCATTGGACTCTGCCGCAGCTGTTAACTCCATTATACACATCAAACAATTCAGCTGCAACTCCCCCTCTTCCTTCTCCACCATCTTTGCCATGCAAAGCAATCCTTTTGTCTCACAAATTCTCCTACTATTCGACACGCTCCCTTTCGCAAGCATCCACAGCGCCTCACCACAACTTATTTTCAGCTTAAGCTTTATTTCAGGTCTCTCATTTTCCCTCTCTTTCCGGCAATTTCCTCCCCGGCTGCCCCCTTCCATATAACACAAAGAATTTGACTTCCACTGCGAACTCGCATTCGGGTTGTATTCCACTGTTTTATCCACTAGTGTCTTCTTCTCTAGGTTCCTGTTGATCTGGACAATGGAATGAATGCTCTGTCTACCCACTTCATCCATAAAAGTCTCGAACGACAACAGAGTGACGAGGGGTCGTATCACGTTCTCCCGTGCAAAATCTTCTTGAGCCAGGGGGTCATGCATCGCCATTCTCGCCACCAAACCCGCCGCTTGTGTCTGCACCACCATCGGCGAGTTTGCAAGAGTCTGCACTATGATCGGGATTCCATGTTCTTGAATAATAGTTCTCACTCTATTCGGATCATTTGCAAGCGTATAAAGTGCCTTGATGGCCACAATTTGAGCCTCCGGCGAGGGTCCTTCCTTCAAAAGCTTGAGCAGAGGAGGAATTCCCCCTTCCTCAACAATAATGTTTTTGTTTCTCTCATTATCAGCGGCAAGCGAAGTGAGTTCGTTGGTCCCTTCAATACGATCGTGCAATTGACCCATCTGAATCGAGGCAATAGAGGACCAAACCCAAGCAATAATCGGGTCATTGCTTACAATTGGGGGAAGCGAAAGCACGATACCGCCTCCGTTGCATTCGAATATAGTGAGAAGCCATTTCATATCCCCAACGGAAGCGTCTAGAAGGTTGAACAGTTTTCGAAAATCAGCAACGCTAGTGATGGTCATTACGCGGCGAAGAGCACTCTGACGCTTGCATTTGCGTACGAGGGTTAGGGCACGCTCCAGATTCTTGGAAACCTCGGCAACCACCCGCCGGATGGGACGCTCGTAGAGGGTGGGAGTTGCTGTAGCGAATCGAACCGCGGTTCTGAGCATTTGGGCAAGGCGATCAACTTGCTTGCCCACTTCCGCACACTCATTTTTGAAGGACTCGGCTTCGTCGACGGCCGAGCGAACACGCTCCGACAGCACAATCGGGTGGGACAGTTCCTCTTCAATCCACTTGTCCCCGGAATCCATTTGAGGTAGTTAGGTTACTCTATATTTGTGGTCCGTCACCGTCAATTCTCCTGAACCCTGTAAAATTAAATACCGATTCGTTCCGAGTTAAGTGAGCAGCGTTGGAGTGGGAGTGAAAGAGAGAAGGTGGGTTTTCCAATTTAGCTTTTGGGTATGGGTCAGAATCAGTCTGGAACTTTGGTCTGTGTTCCATGATCGTTCATTCCCCTTCTTCAATATTCCTTCCTGAGTCAGACTTCCTGGCTACTAAAATTCTCAAAAAAAAAAAAAACATAATAGAAATCGCTAGAAGGAGGGTTTGAACCTCCGACCTTGTGGTTAACAGCCACACGCTCTAACCAACTGAGCTATTCCAGCCGTTCTTGCAATTTGAATATCAAATAATTAATTTATTTTGTGATTACATATGAATTCTACAACCGTGCAACATTGAAACCTGGGCTTCTTGAGTCAACCACATTTCCCCCCAAGTTTTGAAGCACCCACACCACTCAGCAGGAGTATCTTCTTGGGTGGTGGGTTAAGAGTGAAAAGTGAAAAATGATTGGGAATATCTGGGTGTAGAGAAAAAGAAATAGAGGAAAAGGGATAATGTTGAATAAACAAAAAGCAACGGATTGAAAGAGATGATACGTAATGTTTGAATTGAAGTTGCATGTTCCTCCAAGTTGGGTATCAAAATGAATGCGCCACCCTTCTTCTTTCCATCGCCATTTGAAAACAACGTCCCATCCATCGTCTTCTTCTTCCTCCTCCTCTTTTTTGTATGGGGTTAGAAGCTCCAGCCCTTTCAAGTGTTGCACATGCCAACCGCCCATCACATTGCCTACCTATGCACCACGCTGCCTTCAAACCTGAGAAAAATCTGCTAAAATATCAAGGTTCATTAATAAATGCTATTAATTGATAGATTGGGACGTTCATCCCCTTTCCCCAATCATATCCCTCCGCGTAGGACTCCTCCGGCCCCGCCCTCCTCACTCATTCCGATGTCCACCCCTGCTAGATCAGATTAAAAAATAGATGAGGCTTGTATGTGAATACGACCCCACGTGTAGGTGGCCCCACCCCACAACCCTTCCGCCTTCTTTCTTTTTCTTTTTCTTTTTCTTTTTTCCTTTTTCTTTTTTGTAATAATACAAAATTAAAAAAATATTGATTAATTTGGGTCGTATTAAATATGGCATGGATGAGGGAGGAAATAAAATGTGTGGGTCACAATTCATGCTGTCTCATCCTTCCTTCCTTTTACGTGGCTGCTCTCCCATCCACCGTGTCTTCTCTTCTCTCACCACTTTGGTTTGAACCGGGTTTTCCTTTTTTCCTTTTTCTTTTTTAATCTCAGAAAATAATCCCAAGTGTATAAATACAGGGAAACGGGAACAACAACAAGGCATACGACGACACATGGGCAGACCTCCCCTCCACCGCACCGCACTCACTTTCAAACCTACTCCCACCATCAAGTTCCTCTGCAGCTACGGCGGCAAGATTCTCCCTCGCTATCCCGACGGCGAACTCCGTTATCGCGGTGGCGAAACCCGCCTTCTTGCTTTCAACCGCTCCATTTCCTTCTCTGGTAACCGTCTTTTCTCTCTCTCTCTCTTCCACTTTCCGATTGATTTGATTATGGTTTTGAACTCCGGAGTTTCTGAATCTCACACCACAGATCTTCTGTTGAAGTTCGGGGAGCTCTGCGGAACATCAATTTCTGTGAGCTTTCGCTGCCAATTGCCTAAGGAAGATCTGGATGCTCTAGTCTCCATCACCTCCGATGAAGATCTCGCCAATCTCATCGAGGAATACGATCGGGCGGCTTCCTCTTCCTCATCGTTGAAGATCAGAGCGTTCCTTTTCCCTCCTAAATATGCCAAGAGAATCTCGCCTCCTTCTTCAATGGCCTCCTTCTTCTCCTCCTCCTCCTTGTCCTCGATGTCGGCGGCTCACCGTTGCTTTCGTCGGATGTCGCCGCCACATGCTTCCTACTCGGAGAGATCTGCATCTGCGGTTCCTTGCAGTGTATATAATATTCAGGGAAGCTCTAGCCGCATGTTCGTCCACAATGGTCGCAGCTGGGAATAACCCCAACTCTTCCAGCAGGGAGGGAACCGGATAGCCAAACAGAAACCAAATCAATTGAATTATATATGCATATATATATATATATATATATATATATATGATCCACTTAAAGGAAATTAAAATTCAGAGGCTGATACAATGTAATTGTCTCTGCTGTGCTAATTTGGTTGCATTGCGATTAATGAATTTTCAGTCCAATTTCGTTACGGATCCCCAACTTAATACTGTGGTGAGTTGAATTGAGTTGAGTTGAGTTTGTTCTTCTTCAATCCTTGGCTTGTGACAAATTTGCCTTACCCAATTCCCCCGCCGTCGTTTGCCCCCTGCGACTTTTTCTTGCATGCTATCTGTTTTATGTTACTGAGGAACGAACAAGTGTAATCCCCTGCTCTTGTTTGTGTGATCAAATATGTGGAAGTTTATTCTCTGTTTTGAAATCATTTTGTGTGATTTTTTTGTCCAGGAGCTTTGGCACGAGTGAGATTCAGTCTCACGGTTGGGCTCGGAGATTAAAGCTGAGGGCACAAATGAGTAAGTTTCGGCCACTCCAAATTCTTTCTTAGATCATTGAAACTGTAATTTAATTAGTTTTCTTAGTGAATTGCTGCGGCTGGGGAATCTCCTTAAAATGGCGGAGGAGGGATGCAGGTGAATTTAATAAGAATCTCCATAAACAAAGAAGGCAAATATTCAGGAAACAATAAAGGATGAGATTTGAAAGAGATGGAAGAGGTTGGGTTTGGTTCCACAAAAATGGAGATTCCTGTTGGAAAGGGACGAGCAGAAGTAATTATAACAATAAAGGGAAAGTATAAAGCACAATCTATTTGCATTCTAAATATCTTTTTCGTCTACTTTCTTCGAACATAATACATCATTCAAACGAGACACAATAAGGGGACGTTGAATTGTGGGCATGGGCCTAATTTATTGGTACGCCCCAAATCCAAGTCCATTATCCCACCCCAATCCAACTAAACTATACACTTAGTTTATATTCACTCTTGGGATTATAATAAAATTGCAATGCCAACAAAATATAGGACGTAGGCTATCCAAATTGGTTTAGTTAATCACTTATTTATTTATTGATGATGGAATATGAAGAGAACGTTCATTAATTTAGCTTATACGAAAGACTTGGACTTCAATAATTTGGTTAAGTTGTGGAGGACTTTTGGATTGTACAATCCTTGAATCATTTTATATTTGATTCCTAAATAATAACATTCAAAATTATTATTATTTGGGGACAGAAAGCCCTCATCCTCTCTCTTCGTGTGCCCACAGGGTCAAACCCTTTTGGTATGTATGAATGCTCCATCCCAAACGTTATTTTCTAAAATGCGTCAATATCTGTAAGTCAAATTACACCTCTCCCACTTTCATTTTATTAATATAGGATGAAAATGCAATGAGATGTTTTATTTTTATTTTTATTTTTTTAACCAATATATTACAATCATGTAGTAACGTCATTGGTTCGGGGAGAGGTACATCTCGGATGCCATTTGTAATATTCGAGTAAGACGTGGTTTAGAGATAAAGTGAGGTAGAAGTTGGTGTGAATATAACTCCCCTCCTAAACCCGTGAGAGATATATGAATGAACTAAAATTACATCTCCAAATGAAGAGGTGAGGAAGTGTAATATGGAGATGGAGGTGTTTTAGCAATCGTTTTGGGTGGTAGGAGGGAGGAGGGAAGTTTGTTGGTGTTCTATAAATTTCCAAATTCCAAACTCCAAAAACTCCCAACCCGCAGCTTAGCGTAGCTTAGCTTAGCTTAGCTTAGGTTGGCAACAGAACAAGTACATCATGGCAACATTCAAAATGGCCTTCGATTCTCTTCCTCCTTCCCTCTCTTCTTCTTCTTCTTCTTCTTCTTCTTCTTCTTCCTATGTTCTCCCCGATCACATGAGACCTGATCTCCAACGCGTATCCCACACCATTTCCGTGCCCACCATTGACTTGGATCTTCACGACCGATCCCTTCTTGTCCACCAAGTATCGGAAGCCTGCCACAGCTTCGGCTTCTTCCAAGTCACCAACCACGGGATCCCACAACACTTGTGCGACGCCGTCTTGGACACCACCACCCAATTCTTCCACCTCCCTCCCGAACAAAGAAACCAATACGTGACCACGGATCACACTAAGAAAGTTAAAATCTTCAATTACTACGCCAAGGACGTGGAGGGGCGGAAGATCAATCTGTGGAGCGAAACCTTCACGCTTCCCTGGGATCCGATGGGGCAGAAATTTCTAAATGACGTACCCCAAAACCCACCTCAGTACAGGGAAGTGTACGGGGAATACGCCAGGGAAATGGGAAGGTTAATGGAAAGGGTTTTGGGGCTCATGTCGTTGGGGCTGGGGCTTGACGAGGGGGCTCTCAAGAGAAGCATAGGGGAGAAGCCGGAGCTGTACTCGCAGGCTAATTACTATCCGCCCTGCCCACAACCAGAGCTCACCATGGGCCTCGGCACTCATACTGATATTGTGGCCATTGCTGTGCTGTTGCAGACCCAAGAGGCCGCTGGCCTTCAGATCATGAAAGATCACCAATGGGTCTCTCTCCTTCCTCATCCAAATTCATTGGTCGTTAACGTGGCCGATCAAATTCAGGTTTGTGTTTTTCTTTTTCTTGCTTCACACGTAACACCTCCTTATTAATTCCTTAAATTAATTGATGTAGGACTTTTATTCAATACCTCCTCCGAATAAAGTCAGTCTCCCCTTAATCGACTCATTTTTCTTTTAGAATTTTAATCATTTTTTACCATGTCTTCGAGGCGGGAGGCTTGACTCCTTTTCTTTCGAAGTCTTAGTCATTTTTTTATTATGTCTTTTGACTCACAATACTTAGTTTGACATTTGAGAATTCTGTTGACATGGCTAAAGCTTTTTTCAGGAGATGATTATGGGTTTATAATAAAAAAAAAATACTGTCTTTATTCTTTATTAGAATGAAACATTTTGGGGATTACAAAACAAAACAACGAGAGCTTTTGCTGAAAGTGGAAAATATCATAACATTGTAAAGAGTCATGTTCATCTAACATTGTTGGAGGCTCAAAATATCATACCTAACATACACGTGGTCATTTGTGTTTCTTCCCAAATTGGAAAATTTAGTTGTTAATTTGCTTACAAAATATTGAGTTAATAGCTTAAATTTGTCCTAAATCCGAAGTTTGGAATTTAAAAAATATGAGAGTGGATTTTGAAGGTATTGAGCAATGGAAGGTATAAAAGCGTGATCCACAGGGCTGTAACCAACCGCGCGAGGGGAAGATTATCGCTAGTAATGTTCTATGCACCCAACGACGAGACGGTGATGAAGCCCATTGAGGAGCTGACCGACGAACACCACCCGCCCCTCTACAAAAGCTTCACTTACAAACAATTCATGCACGAATTCCGCGCACAAGAAGGAACAATAAGAAGAGTCAAGGAGAGTTTCCAGCTCACCAACTCTCTCGACACCTAAATCCTTGCTTGTTTCTTTAACCAAATGGGCCCTCGGCCCAACCGATGCTGTTCTGGACCAAAACACCATTTCCCTCGCTTTTGTTGTTGAATGAAAGAAGTAAACACGATGCCACATCAGAGAAATGGCTGGTTAATTGGCACGTGTGTTTTTTTCCCCCCAAAATGCCAACAGCGATGCCACGTCGTTGGATGACTCATCCCACTTCGGCTTTCAATTTGGATTTGTAAAGCTGTATATTTATTTAATTAATTATGCACAGTTAGTTGGGAACTAGAAGTGGGGGCAGAGAAAAGGAAAATGAATCTGAGGCCGATAGGAGGGTGGGGGTTACAAAGTGAAGCGCCCAATTATATTCCACATTTTATAAGAAAAAGAAAATAAATGGTGGTGCAGAGATATATAAATTGGGACTTATAACAATTATAAATGTGCATTGAATAAAATAAATGGAGGAAAGCATGCATGGGGATGGACCAATGGTAGAATGCCACGTCCAATACTGTTTACTACCATTTACAATGCCCTAAATATCTTTGTACGTTCCCCTTGTGGAAGGCAAATATAATGTTTTTATTGTTTTTAAGTAAAATAATATTTTATAAAGAAATTAAAAAAAAAAAAAAAAGCATTTGTGAGAATTAAATGAGGCATTATTAAAGGGGGAATTCCGGGAAAAAAAAAAATGATACAGGGGATTGCATAATTAAAGTGGACGCAGAAAGGCATTTAAAGGCATGTGTATATATTTTTTATATATAAGTAAAAACATTATTATATAATAGAAGTGTAAGGAATATAGTTTGGTTTGCGATGGAATTATTAATTATTTACAAGGATTGGACTGTAGTAACTAAAAACATGTAATATTCACTCACGGACATTCAATAACTCTTATTTACTTCAGACAATATTATTTGATTTGAAACATTATTTTGTATTGAAAAGGAATGACAAATAAATGTCACCCAATTAATAATAAATAAAAACCAACAAGTCCCATGATTTCACGCGGATATCTATATATCTTTCTTTCTTCTTCTTTTTTCTTAATATTAAAATTCATAACCATTCATAAATATTTGTAATTAATAATAAATTTATAATGTTGCCTTTAAAATACACTTTTAAATCTAATTATAAATACAATTTTTCATACATGGTTAAACTTAAACGAGTTCTTAAGATTTATTGAAAGTGCAATAACTAAATTTATGTATTTACAAATATACCCGTAAGTCCATGTGTATAGACTAAAATAGTATTTATAATTTAAAAAGAAGTTTGCATTATTGTGTCTACAGATAATTATTATTTTTTTTTTAAACTTTTGTGTACATTAATAATTAATACTTGTACGTACTAGTATTCCATTAAAAAGGTAGCCAAGGTGGCCAAATTAGATTAAAGGCTGTAGCTTCACTAATCACTTTTCGCGTACCTATTGATTTTTCATTAATGATCATTAATGACATCTAAAAAGTGGTACTTAGGCCATCATCCATATATATATATATATGAACTTTAAGGATCGAAAGAAAGAAAATAATGAACTTTAAAACTCATGCAACCATTAGATATATGAACTTTTTTTAGTTTTTTTTTTTTTTTTTTTTTTTAT